ACGTGCAAGAGTAAACTGTACTGTACACTTGCTGTACGGAGTGACAGGTCAGACAAGGCTTTCATTACTTGTGTTAATTAGCTTGCCGTGGTGTGCTTTGGTAATTAGTAAAGTGCCGGTTCCTCTGTCGACGGTGACTGCCACGACTGTTTTCGCAGATAATTCGGTTAGGTTCGTCGTAAGAAGGGCGAGGCCCTCTGCTGTTCATCAATCAGGTAGTTTTTACCTCCTGAACTGCATGAGCCAGCGCAGCGCTTTAGGTTTTTTTTTCCTGTGCAGAAAAAGTAGGGCGACGTCGCGACGACGCATTGGAAAAAATAAGCTGCATGCGTAGTACGATGGCGAGAGGCCATTGCGGGCAGGATTGACGTTTCGTGCAGACGGCGAATGAGATTCAGAAAGCGGGGAAAAGAACGAAACTTGGGGGAACTATATGTGGAGTCTGTGGTGGGCCACTTGACGTGCATGCAGGAGAATGAAACACTGGAGAGACTTGTGGTGGTGGGAAAAACTGATAAAACCGGACTCTGTGCTGCAACTTCACCGCGTTCATGGTGGTGCGCAATATTTAATGACTTCTTATATTACAGTGCAAGCTGCTATGAGCATAAAACAGCTGATTTTGGTGGCGATGTTGTCCGTGTCAGTCTCAGTTTTATCGCACACTGAGAATGAAAAAAAAAAAAAACCGGAGGACGTTTCAGCTTCGCCTTCAATTAAATGTAGAACGCGATAGCGTAATCGGGGTGCGCATTACGTTTTCAATTGTTAGCCTTACTTCGCTTCTCGGTTATCACCGCAACAGTGTACCGCAAGGAAACGAACGCTCGCGCAATATTGGCCCTTTCAAACCATCCTTGAATAGCTTCTGCAGGTTGCGAAGTTCCCACTGCGACATGGTTCTTCCTTTTGCGAATCCCGAAGCACCCGCTACGCGTCAGTAAAGTGCAGCTGGACACTTTGTGGATGATGTTGCTGACTGTGATGGTTAATGAGGCTTTAGTGCTTTGTGATGTGTCGACCTCTACAACACTCGACTCCTTGCGCAATTCACAAGTTTTTAGGCCTGGTGTGATTCCACGCTTCTACCATGCATGCGTTAAGTGGACTCCTCCCACTACATGGCAGTAATACAGTGTTCTTTTTTTTTTTTCGAAGCAGTTTGAAGCCACGCAGATAGCCTGGGCTCGATTCTCACCAGACCCGAGTAGTTTCACGTATATGTAGTTGAATCTTTCTGAATGTTCCGCTCACGGATAGCGTTGATCTTGCGCTAGCAACTAACGACGCGGACGCTAGAATTCCTGTGAAACGGGCTCTTGAACGTTAAAAAAAGAAAAAAAAAGAAAGGAAGAAAAGCAGCGTTCGAGGCTGAACCTATGCCAGTGATTCTGTGTGTTAGCCAAGCATTCTCTATCACTGAGCCATGCCGGTAGCAAACCGAACGTGCGTCTGGTTGACCTCCCTGCCTTTCATTTCTTCCCTTCCTCCTCCTCCTCCTCCTCCTCCAAGCATTCTCCCACAGACCCACACAGGGCTTAAAACTCCTTGGAAAAAGTATCCTATAATATACAGGCGTCTATAACACATGTCAACAGATGTGAAATTTCGGGGCATAAGCGAGCCGTGTCGCAAGGCGTCACTCTTTGTGAATACTGGGTGGTTTAAACAAGTATACTGACACGATTTCGAGGAATATCGCAAAGCGGGCTTTTTTTGTTTCTTCGGTACGCAGTGTTAACGCTCTCCACACACCGTGGTTATAGGCACGCATAAAGTATTTTACTTTGATATTAATGTTGTCGTCGCTGAGCATATGCAAATCAGCCCCACTGCAATGGACATTTCGACGAGTCGGGGCAGATATATACTGAGTGAGCGAACTATGCGTCCTGCCTGCCATGTACTCCCAGAAATCACTGTCGTTGTCACTGTACGACAATTCACCCGTCGTTGCTTACGTGTACCTCGAGCAGATGAAAGATCTGCCGATAGCATGCATGTCTCTCCCCCCGTGGTGTCGCACTGCAGCGATATGTCACTGAGCCTCGTTGATACCGAAACCGAAAGTGCTCTATCAAGGCTGGGGTATTAAAAAATGTTTGATGCATTTGCAGGTACCATGATACTTTTTTAGGGTTCTCAACACCAGTGCTTTTTTTTACCTACAATTGGAAAATTTTAAAATTTCTGTCAGTAGACCTTTAAAGCCTTACCCATTCATTACAAAGGGCTTAGCCATAATTAATCGTCATTTTCAGCCACCCATTCAACAAAGTGGCAGCTACGCAGGTGCCCTCATTGGCTTACAGACGCGTAGTGGACACTTCGCCGCAACACCAAATGAGGAATCGTGGCGCAGTGGACACTAAAACAGATGCCCTAAAACAGTTTACAACAAGCTCCACAGGCTTACATCTGTCACTGTACTGCGTGTTTCGCAGTTCAGTGACAGTGTGACGGTATTTTAGTGGAGCATCTGACTGAGATTTTGAACCGTAAACGTAATGGGGCTTGTAACAGTGGTAAATGTGGACAGTCGGCAAGCGACTTCGGCCTCATGAACTAACCGGTTTCAGTTTTGAGCGAGGAAAGCCGTTGCCTGTAGCTGAGGATAAACTGAGGACATAGGCACCCAGCACAGTTTAACACCGAATCAGATATCTATGTTCATCATAACTCTGACAAAGTTGAGCAACATTGGCGGCGTTCTGTGGATCTTTCTTTAGGGGAGTACTCGGCATGCGCTGTCTTCAACGCCCTTTTTAAAGCAGTGAATTTCATCACATTGTGTCATTGATGCATTGACCAGCTTACAATGGTACACGTCCTCGATGTATTGAAGTTCTCACCAAGCTGTTGGGAGCGGCCGCACAAGCGTTCTTCGGCGCGAAGCTTCCGACCGAAGTAAAGCGCGTCTTGAAGTCGGCCCAGCGGCGAAGGTCAGTTTTGTGGGGCGTTTGTTGGGAACTCTCACATGTTCGTTGTATGAGATCAAACGGTAAAAGTCGTTTTCTACGGAAATGCCGAAGATAGCAGGATCCTGTGGAGCTTGAAAAAAGAAGGGCAGGCGGTGCCATTCATTGTTTGTCTGCGTCGTTATAGGCATGGTGGCCGGCATCTTCCCATTGCAAGGTTACAGTCAAGCCCCCATACCTCCCTTGTCATAGTATGTATCGCGGTTTGATGCCTGTAAGAACAAAGGCGTCGCTAGTGAGCACTAGGCATTGGGAGTGCGAACCTGGATAGAGGCGGTGATGATTTCGTTTTATTTCAATGCCCACGTGGTCAGTTGTGCATTACGAGGGATTCAACAGGATGCGTACTTTGTGTGACCAAGGTGCGCTCCAGTCTTCGCTACCCATACGTGCGTCTATTTCTGCGCGATAATCCCGAATAACGTTAACAGAATTCTTCATCCAACTCTGAGCCTGTTACTGTATACCTCTCTTTTCGATATGTCGAACAGGTGTGTTGCACGCAGTCCACGCAGAAGCGAAAGTGAAGAATGCGCAGCTGCCACTGGTTGTGCACCTATCGACATGCTATATTCTGAATTTCTGAGCGTGTCGCTGCCGAATTCGCGGGGTTTCATGTACTACCTTACATTGTTGCCGTATTTGCTTGAATTTGTGAACGGATGTAAACGCAGTCGTTTTTCATACATCGGTTTTCACTTTTAGAGCTGATCCACCTATAGGTGTTTATAGTATAAGCCATCTCCAACAGGCTGGATGAAGTAGAAAAGTAGAATAAGATTTAGAATTGGTTGTACGATAGTTTGTATTATAATGTCAAGAGCGATGGCTCAAATGGATTTTATAAAGTGTTACAGGCAGCCTGACTGAATGTAATGTAGGAATGAAAGGAATGTAGTAATAATCTATTTGCATATAGTAGTCGGGAAGGCTATGTTGTCTTCGCTGCCCTCGTACTTCTTTAATGAAAGGGAAAGATACAGCTGTGTGGTTTCAGAAGTGGGATGGCGGGACCTTTGCAAGTATCATGAAGATGCTCAATTTGTTGTCATATATCCCGAAAAGAATTTGTTTTATTTCGTTCCTTCCGAGCTGCATTGGGCTCACGACATGGAGGCTGCGTTAAATGTAAAATCCATTGAGACGGTCGATCGCTCTTCATACAAGCGGGTGAAATATTTCATTCCGCTGTTAGGTCGAACAGAGAAGAGCGCGTCAGTTTTCCACTCTCCGTATTGTCGCTTTCGTTGTCTGAGAAAAATAAGCGCTTCATTTGTATTCCGCTTGTGTCTCTCGCCGTCCCTTCTGTCTTGAGTTCTTTTTTTTTCTTTTTTTTTTTCATAGTCACGGCGTTTATCTGTATTGCCACAGGAAGCTTATGTTTTTATCCCATTTTCTTTTCTCAATTTTCCCGTCTGCTTTATACCACTTCCTCTTCACTACGACTAACCGCGCTATCTTTTCGATTTGAAACTGTGCTTTGTTGTGTCGTCTCAGCAAGAAAACGACGATACCCGAAGTTGCAGGTTCTCTGGTTCTGTGAACTCAAGCGCGGAACACACACACACACACACACACACACACACACACACACACACACACACACACACACACACACACACACACACACACACACACACACACACACACACACACACACACACACACACACACACACACACACACACACACACACACACACACACACACCGAGTAGATAACCTGGCGAAGTGGTAGGGTCAACACGAGAACAATAGGTTTTATCCCCCCCCCCATTCTCTTTCTCTCCCTCTCTTACACTTTTGGCGTCCGCCGCCAGAGGCCGAGACGATCGGTCCCAAATGGAGAGGGTGAAAGACACGTGACCTCGAACTGGGTCGTGTTGCGTTTACTGAATGCCGCTTTTTTGTATTTTTGTTTCCCTCCCGCTCTGATGGCGGTGGCGGCGTCGACAAACTCTGGGCAACGGGAAAAACTTCGCGGGCCGCTGGGCGGGCCACATCGCTGAGCGCACCTTTCGTCCGGTTGGCCGGCGCCGCTTGCGTTCGTGGCGCGCCGTCTTGGTAGCTTGTAAACGCCGTTATGCGGCGGAGCGCGTTTGGTCGGCGACGTTAGCGAGCTTCGGTGACAGCACTGAAGTGTCGTCTGCTGCTGCAGGGAGCAGCGGTCACCACATAGCTTCTAGTTCCGCGCTGCAGGCTGCGTCCTTTTCGCACCATGTGAACACCGAACGTACTGCTGTGCTTCGCGTGACTGGTGACTTTGAAAAAGGATTTTGCGCTCGCGGCACACGTGTATGCGACTCTTGGATACGTACTCCGGGCTGACAACGACGGAACCGAGCGGACGACGATCGGCGCTGAGAGTTGGGGATAGCGTCGCCTCTTCCGCGCCGCCCGTCAGGAAGCGTGTTTGGTTCTCCAGCGCGCTGTCAGCCATGGGTCTCAGTGACACCGATCGAAGGTGAGCTCCTCGTGACCAGGTTTGTCTGATTTCGTGTCTGGCCTATAGCACGATGTAGCTGCTCACGACAGCCTTAACTGGCTGACACCCCTTCGGGCATAGAGCTCGCGCAAAGGCCGAGTTTATTCCTCGACCTTCTGCGCGTGCTGTATGCCCTGATGGTTTAGGGTTTTTTGTGATATATGTGGCCGTCGGATCAGAGGCAAAGTGAGTCGTTGTGATCAACTGTGCATCTGTCGGATAATCTGAATATGACATTGCTATATTTAAAAAAAGTGCGGTTTCCAGAGACATTAAGTAACTAGAAACCTATCATGCATTTGCAATTTATTGACCGTATGATCGACCACGTGAATGCGTCGCCGTGGTTCTATTACCGTCGATGCATCCTTGACGTAACGGATGCCGCTTCAAGGGGGCGTAGTAGCAGTGGTCTGTTGTATAGTGGGCAGATATTAGCAAATGCTTTGGCCGAAGTGCGGCAGGGGTGTTCGTCATATCTTCATGCTGCTCCTATTTAACAGATAGGCAGCGATTATCATCGCTTGCGTAGAAACGTCAAGTTTATTCCTTCAATGTTTAATGTGCCGCCGCTGCCTTGTGAAAGTGCGATGCTTTCGGCCTCGTTTGATTTATCTGGACAGGCGTAAGTTCTGGCTATCGAAACAAAGGTTGGTATATGTTTGCACTCGTTCAGCTTTACCCTCCTATGTCATGCGCCTGTATTGTAATACGGCTGAAGCAAACTCAAGGTGGGGCTCTCCACAATGGATCAGTGGTTTTAACCACAGTCTGGTGGTCGTAATCGCGCGTTAGTACGTTTGCTTCTCACTCACATTGCGCAGAGGTTTAAGCGTGAAACCTCCTGTGCTCTGAGATTTCGTTGGACGTTAATTAAATCAGCGTACTTACCACGTACGATAGCGCCGCTTTTAGCCCAAGGTCTTGTTATGGGACCACTAGCGGAGCCGTAGTGGGGATAAAGGGAGAGTTCTAGTTCCTCGAAGTAAACTTATGCCATGTCCATGCCACTCCTCACGCGATTTAGGTCAAACCATTTGCAGCTTACCCATAGAAATGAAAATCACTAGAAATTCGCCGCAATCGTTCTTATGCTTTCTCCGTCTCAGCTGCACGTGGAAGCAGGGGGCACATGCGCGGTTGTGAGAAATTTTACAGACTTCGGTTATTTGCGCGCACTCGTGTGGGTTGTGCCAACTTGTATGTGCAAGTGAAACCACATGGCTCTGCAACTTTCCTCGGGTTAGAAGCCGTGCGCTCGGTTTAGCTGAACTTCTCAACTCTGAAGCGGGAGCTGTTTGGTAACCGTGAAATTCACCCCTGCAGCCGCGTGGAGAAGTACGTGATGAGCTTGTTGATACGGCAACCTTGATGGAGTGTGCTCGAACTAGTGGCAAATAGACGTTCAAGATACGATATCGGGCCACGCGTCTTTGTGGGTCATCGGAGCAGAACTCGGCTTAAATGAGAACATCGCCGGAGCTATCGTATCTGGCGGTGTTTCTGTGGGGGCTCGAGAAAGTGGTTGGATTTCCTCTTAACGTGGAAAGTGCAAGTGGTACGCTACTCAACGATGCGAAAGAGGGTTTCGTTAGTAATACAGCCTACATATAGAGGCCCTCTTCATTGATGATTGATATGTGGGGTTCAACGTCCCAAAACCACCATATGATTATGAGAGACGCCGTAGTGGAGGGCTCCAGAAATTTCGACCACTTGGGGTTTTTTAACGTGCGCCTGAATTTGAGCACACGGGCCTACAACATTTCCGCCTCCATCGGAAGTGCAGCCGCCGCAGCCTGGATTCGATCCCGCGACCTGTGGGTCAGCAGCCGAGTACCTTAGCCACTAGACCACCGAGGTGGGGCACAGGCCCTCTTCAATAAGTCGGTAAAGCTGGAGCAAAAGTTCCCGGAACGCCGACCTTGTCCGCGTCTATAGGAGAGGAACGATGTGCACGCCGCGCGCATCTCGCAAGCACCGCGCTGGTGATTTCACGAAATAGAGTGGATGCTCAGTAGCCTGTGTATATCCAGGAAATCAATGTACGTACATTTGCTTGTGTATTTCGATATACGTGCGTCTACTGTAGCTCGTTGCTGCACCCCTCGTTCCTTAAAAAAAAGGGAGGGGGGGTGGCAGCACTTGCTTACACCCACCTTCAATAATGGAGATCGAAATTCTCGGTAATGGTTTATGACCGTAGCTGGCATGCACGGCAATTTCGTATGTTCTTCGTCCGCAATCCATGCCCTGTATACATTGGAAAACTTCTTTCTTTTCGCCGTATAGGAAGGAGTGCAACTGTTCTCATTTTCTTATCTATTCTTGTCAGGTTACATTACTTATACAGTGAAACTTCAAGTGACGTCATTCGGCGATTGATCGATTGGAACTCGTAATAACCATGCTTGCCTCCCTCTCTCTATACTTACCTCTAAGCCTCCGTGTGCATTCCTTTTCTTCGACATCGTTCAGATCATTGGAGCCAAAGGGGGCGGGGGGGAGGTATCGGTTTGTCATGTTATTCTCGTTATTCCACCATTATTACCTACTCCCCTGAGGTCGTATTTCATATGTGCAGTAGGAATGAAAAGAAATTCGAACATGCGGTATCGCTTTATTTTCAAACGATTGTAGCCTGGTTGGTGGGGAAAAAAAACAACCACTGGAGTATTTCATGATAGAATCCAAAACCGTCTAGCATCTTTTTGTTGCCACCAAGATCAGAGCGTGATGAAAACAGCGCGCCGCGCTGTTCACGTAGGAAAAATAGGGGATGTTGTTTTGTGGTAACTGTGATGTAAGTGACTGATATGTGTGCTTTAACGTCCCAAAACCAGAGGATATTAACTGTGATGTAAATGCGGAGGAAGCAAATGGATGAAACGATAACTTGCCCCTGCAGCATGCAGGGTCTGAACCTTCGATCTTCGAATAACGCGTCCGATGCCCTGCCAACTGAGATACAGCGGCGGCCATCCCCCCCGCCCATTTTCAAGTCCTTGTTGTTGTTGCCCTTTACTTGTGGCTCATACCCACTGGGGGGGATCGGCCAATAATTGTGTGGTCTTATAAAGTATTATTCGATTTTTGAGTAAAGGAACTTATAAAACGAAAGCGTTGCAAATTTTAGAACGAAATTATGATTATCTCTGGTCTGTGCCTAGTATAAAGTTTTTGTATTAGTAATAGATAATAATATAGATTAAAACCTAACTTTAAAAACGGGTATGAAATCAGGTACTCGGAGCGAATAGGACCAATCCAAGTTCGGGCTGAATTTTATTTGTTAAATATATGTGTCAACTCATTTTTATTTCTTCCTATTTACCTGACAGTTATACCAACAACATCCCCTATACTTTTTTTGGTATCTATGTCTGTTATTGCTTGTGTCCAAGTTATTTGTGGCAGAAAAAGAAAAAAATGAAAACGCCAGGCCTGCGCGGAAGGCACAGTCACAGCGAAAGCTTGAGAGTGGCTTAGAAGTGTGGCAGCTTGGGCTAGTTGGTATGGCATGACGATAGTTATAGCGCGAGAACAAAACGACGACACAGAGACTTTCGTGTCCTTCTTGTCTCTGTGTCGTCGTTTTGTTCTCGCGCTATAACTATCGTCTTGAGAGTGGCCTTTCAGAGGAAGGAAGGAAGGAAGGAAGGAAGGAAGGAAGGAAGGAAGGAAGTGCCTGGAAACTGTGGCACACACTCACGCTGGGGGATTCCCTTTCTAAACACTCATTGGGTAACTGCTGCAAGCACACTTGCTTGATAACCACTACGACATTAATAATAAAAATTTTAGGGTAGTAGGCCGGCATTCGTTATGCTATTTTTCGTCATTCTTCAGAGGAGCGTTGTGCACGCTAAATACTTGCAGGAAATTTTCTGCCGATTGTCCATGCAGTGGCTGACGACGATGAAGAATTATGCCTGAAGTTGGTATTCGCAACAGTTAATAGGTGACCAAAAACAAGCTTTTGTAATGGGTTGGAGCATTAGACGACCTACTCGGTACGCTATTAGCATTGTGTGACGCCTCGTTGGTCCTTTGCTGCTCTAAAACGCGTTATTATTCATAATAACGCAATTCTTTTCCCGACATCAAGCATGTGTAAGGCAAGTTTGCGAAAAGTTCCAAGCACCGGCGTAGCTCGGTGGTACAATACTGGGCTGGCACGCAGCGAACCCGGGTTCGAGTTCCACTGTGTCCTTGATACTAAGTTTTTTTCTTCTTATTTCCATAGTGGTTACGGACACCGGTGGTGGCGGTGGCGGACGGGGCCGCGCGTGAGCCGAGTTTTGGTCACAGCTTTCGCTGTAATACTGGGCGTGCACACACACTTACTACTTCTGTTATTGTTCCCATTAATATTGTCTCTAACAATGAAAAACGAGGCCTTAAATTTTCACTTCCGCCCCCTGTACATGCATGCTTTAAGTATTATGCTCTTATAAGCTCTTCAAAATTGCACATCGCTTATTACGTTTGAAGCCTGGTGAAAAAAAGAACAGATGTAAGCAGGGTCAGCCTGCTATGAAAGCGAATCCCTTTGAGTAGCTCTATTTTTGCAGCATTCATGGCTTCACAGTTTCTTCGCGGCACTTATTTTGGGCTTTCTTGATTTTGCTCCGGATTGTAGCGACGCTTATCAAGGCAGCGTTGATCTAGCTCGCAGAGTATACAGTAAACATTGCTGCTGAGGTGCACTTGTTGGCATTTTTTGTAAACAACGACGTGATATAAGTGATCCCCACCACCCCCACACGAACACGCACATATTCGGCTGTCTGTGCTATTCAGTGCAGGTTATATAACACGAATGAATGAGCGGGAACTCTATGTAAATATGCCCAAAAGGAGATATATGAGCAACAACACGACATTACGCATATCGATATACGCACATGTACGTCATCTTTCGCATCATCTCCCGCGCACACTGTGCGCGTTTTCACTCTGCGAACAGCATCAAAAAG